CCTGCCTCAGCCTCTTGAGTAGCTAGGATTACAGGTGTGTACCACCAGGCCCTGCTAATTTTTGTATTTTTAGTAGAGATGGGGGTTTCACCATGTTGGTCAGGCTGGTCTCGAACTCCTGACCTCGTGATCCACTCGCCTTGGCCTCCCAAAGTGCTGGGATTACAGGTCTGAGCCACCACGCCCAGCAGAAGAATCAATATTGTTAAAATGTCCGTACTACCCAAAGCAATTTGCAGATTCAATGCAATCTCTATTAAAATACCAATGACATTCTTCACAGAAATAGAAAAAGCAATCCTAAAATTTATATGTAACCACAAAAGACCCAGAATAGCCAGAGTTATCCTAAGCAAAAAGAACAAAACTTGAGGAATCACATTACCTGACTTCAGATTATATTCTAGAGTTATAGCAATGAAAACAGCATGGCATAAAAACAGACACAGACCAATGGAACAGAATAGAGAACCCAGAAACAAATCCACACATCTATAGCAAACTCATTTTTTGACAAAGGTGCCAAGAACACATGGGAAATACAGTATCTTCAATAAATGGTGCTGGGAAAACTTCATATCCATATGCAAAAGAATGAAACCAGACCCCTATCTCTTGATGTATAAAACAGCTCACACCTGTAATCCCAGCACTTTGGGAGGCCAAGGTGGGTGGATTACTAAAGGTCAGGAGTTCAAGACCAGCCTGACCAACATGGTGAAACCCCATCTTTAAAAAGAAAAAAGAAAAAGAATAAATAAATAAATAAATAAAATGGATTAAAGACTTAAATCTAAGACCTCAAGCCATGAAACTACTGCAAGAAAACATTGAGGAAAACCTCCATGACATTGGTCTGGGCAATGACTTCTTGAGCAATATCCCACAAGTACAGACAACCAAAGCAAACATGGGCAAACTGGATTGCATAAAGTTAAAAGGCTTCTGCACAGCAAAGGATACAGTCACCAAAGGGAAGAGACAACCCATGGAATGGGAGAAAATATTTGCAAACTACCCCTCTGACCAGGGAATAATTACCAGAATATATATATAAGGAGTTCAAACAACTCTACAGGCAAAAACATAATAATATGATCAAGAAACTGGCAAAATATTTGAATAGACATTTATCAAAAGAAGACACAAATGGCAAACAGGCATATGAAAAGGTGCTTAGCATCATTGATTATCAGAGAAATTCAAATTAAAACTACAAGATATCATTTCACCCCAGTTAAAATGGCTTATATCCAAAAGACAGGCAATAACAAATGCTGGTGAGGATGTGGACAAAAGGGAATACTCGTACACTGTTGGTGGGAAAGTAAATTAGTATAACCACTATGGAGCACAGTTTGGAGGTTCCTCGGAAAACTAAAAATTGAGCTACCATATGATCCAGCAATCCTACTGCTGGGTATATACCCAAAAGGAAGGAAATGAGTAAGGAAGATAACTGCATGCTTGTTTCTTGCAGCAGTGTTTACAACAGCTAAGATTTGGAAGTAACCTAAGTGTCCATCAACAGATGTTTGGATAAAGAAAATGCAGCACATATACACAATGGAGTACTATTCGGCCATAAAAAAAAATGAGATCCTGTCATTTGCAATAATATGGATGGAACTGGAGATCACTATGTTAAGTGAAATAACCAGGCTCTGAAAGACTAACATCACATGTCCTTACTTATTTGTGGGATATAAATATCAGAACAATTGAACTCGTGGACACAGAGAATAGAAGGTTACCAGATGCTGGGAAGGGTAGTGGGGGATTGGGTAGTGGAGGTGGGGTTGGCTAATGGGTACAAAAAATAGAATGAGTAAGATCTTCTATTTGATAGCACAATAGGGTGACTTATATGGTTTGGATTTTTGTCCCACCCAAATCTCATCTTGAATTGTAATCCCCATACTCCCCACATATCTGGGGAGAGACTTGGTGGGAGGTGATTGGATGATGGGGGTGGTTTTCCATATGCTGTTCTTGTGATAGTGAGCGAGTGCTTACGAGATTGGATAGTTTTATAAGGGGCTCTTCCCATCAGCCCTGTGGTGGTGCATGCCTGTAGTCCCAACTACTCGGGAGGCTGAGGCAGGAGGGTCACTTGAGCCTGGGAAGTTGTGGCTACAATGAACTATGATCATGCTACTGCACTCCAGCTTGGGTGACAGAGTAGTAAGATGCCGTGTCTAAAACAAAAAACAAAGTAAAATCCTTGACTGGCAAAATTTTCTCTATCAGCTTTCTTTTTAAAAAATTACATAAGTAAAACATGTATCTTTAGTTATTATCTCTTTAATCAGATTACCTTCTGTAATAATTCTTTGGGAATTATTCTACAGGAGGGCAGTCATTCACACCTGTAACCCTAGCACTTTGGGATGCCAAGTCAGGAGGACTGCTTGAGCCCAGGAGTTTGCAACCAGCCTGGTCAACTAGACCCTGTCTCTACCAAAAAATAAAAAACAAACAAACAAAAAACGGGCATGGTGGTGTGTGCCTGTAGTCCACGCTATTTGGGAGGCTGAAGTGGAAGGATCCCTTGAGCCCAGGAGGTCAAGACTGCAGTGAGCCAAGACAGCACCACTGCATTCAAGCCTGGGCGGCAGAGTGAGGCTCTGTCTCAATAAAAACCCACAAAAAACTATGGGGGCATCGTATGGTTGCCAGTGAATAAGGTTACCGGATAAAAAACAGGACGCGCATTTAAATTCAGCTAAGCAAGGACTGTATATTTTTAGTGTAAGTATGTCCAAAATATTGTTGAGGTATACTTACACTAAAACAAGTAAGTATTCATTGTTTACCTGAAATTCAAATTTAAATAGGCATCCTATATTTTCATTTGTCAAACCTGGCAATCCTACCAGCACTTTAACATGAAGCCATGAGGTTTGCCTGGATTCATGCTGGTAGGTAAGCACCAATCCATTCAGTTGCCTCAGACGGAACAAAAGCCATTCTCCCTAAAAAAAGAATCGTTTAGTGTGACGGTAGTTAGCAACGAAGCACGGAAGAAACTTGACCCTTTGAGGAACCCGTAACAGACGCAAGTGCCTTAAATGCTACTTTGATTGATTTCCCCGCCCCCTCCATTCTTCTTTTACTGCAATTGCTCTGTTACTTCTTCCCTCTCAAGTCCCGCCTTTTCAGCTACCTCCAACTGCAGAGGAACCGGTTGCCTAAAAGGAGCCGGTGAAAGCGCCTACGTGGAGGCCAGAGGAGCGGAAGTAGTCAGATTTGACTAAGAGCCGTAAAGCGCGGCTGGCTCTCGTTTTCCGGATAACGACTACAGCTCCGACTGTCAGTGCCGGCCTTCCTCGTGTAAGGGGATCTGCCGGACCCTTGCAAATTCAATTTCGTTCCCATTCCGGGCCCTTCCCTATCGTCGCCCCCTTCACCTTGGATCATGTTCAAGAAGTAAGGACATGCTGTGGCCTCCATCGGCCGCTCACAAAGGCGGTGGGGTGGGGGTGGGGAAGAGGGCGAGAGCTAAGATCCTCTTTCTCTCTCCCCCGCCCCTGCCATCCAGACTCCCTAAGGTTTTCTATAGTACTATGCTCTAACTCGCAACTTGAACACTTCTAAGCCTTCCATCCGTAGTCCTCAATCGGGTTTTGTTCCCTTCACTCCCATTGTTTTTTCTCCTTACCCCTCTTTCTCTTTTGCCCCCTCCCTCGATTCCGTCTCCATTCCTAGGGTTCTACCAATCACATCCGTGCACTGTGATTTAGGGGCATATCCTCTTTAGCTGAGAGGGGAGCCCTGCGCTCACTGCCATATGTTTATTAGTTATGAACTGAATAAAGGAAGGCTTGACTTCCTGGGTCATGGGAGTGAAGGAGTCTGGGTGACAGGAAGCAAGCGGCCTGTCATGCCTATTGCCTAGCTGCCAGATTAACCTTGCCTTGAAAATAACGTGATTGCCCCATAAGCTATTCAGTGTAAGGAAGACAAAAATTCCTTGGGAACCTACTAGTGGGTTTGCCTTCCAGATTTGGTAGACGCAAAAAGCAAAGGGGGAACATGGGCAAAGGAAGGTGGGTTTTTTGCATGAAATTTTGAGCAAAAATAAATAGGGATCTTATAAATCATTATCATCATCACTTTAAAAAAAAATCTCAGCAGATTACATAGCCTAGCAGGGGCCGATTTTCTATGTTATGCTTGGGTTGGTCTTTTGTATCAATTGAGGGTTTTGTTTTTTGATCACAGGCTTTATTATTGGTGGGAGCCTGTGTTTCTTCCTGGGTAGAATTGAGTAAGATTTTCCAGGAAAGGCATTTGTGTAGCTAATTAGAGATTATGGTGCAAAATGTGTCTTGTATTCCTCTCCCCAACCCCAGCTAATTGCTGTATACTTGACAGTTTATTTCAATATTGTATTAAGACATTGGTTTCGTGCTGGACAGAGTAAAAGGGAGGTGGTATTTTTTTAAAAAAACAACTTATTTCATAATTATTTTAAGTATCTAAATGCTTGCTTGGGAATACTAATTAGAACAATACCTTTAGGTGTTATGATACCTCTACTTAGAAATCCCTTTTTCTTTTCTTGCAAAAATTACTTGGCAGATTTGATGAAAAAGAAAATGTGTCCAACTGCATCCAGTTGAAAACCTCAGTTATTAAGGGTATTAAGAATCAGTTGATAGAGCAATTTCCAGGTATTGAACCATGGCTTAATCAGATCATGCCTAAGAAAGATCCTGTCAAAATAGTCCGATGGTAAGTCTTTGTTTTTGTCTGTGTAAAGCTTGGAGTAGCTGAATATTTAATGATTAGATTGCACTCATATTAAATGGAATTATTTTCAGATTAACTATTGATTAATGATGGGGATAGACACAGAATAACTCTGAAACTCCAATATTTGTATTTTCATAGATCTTCTATGTCCCTGAAAAAAATGTGGCTTTGTGTATTGATTGTTTTATTAAAGAGTTAAATGTTTTAATTCAGAGTTGGATTTAATTTATTTCAGTTTGTTCTTTAGAGAATTGTTTTATTGAATTATCTAACAATGGAATTAAAATAATAAAATGTGAAATAAAATTGGTTGTAGTAGATCATATTTTTCTTCTCTGCTGGACTTGTCTGATAGGAAAAACAATGTAAACAATATTTTTTAGCCAGGATTTTTACTGACTTTTTTTTAAAGTTTACTTTATTACTATATATGCATTTTTATGTTGTGAATTTTTGAAAGAAAATATCTAACTTGGTACTTTGTAACATTTGTCTTACAGCCATGAACATATAGAAATCCTTACTGTAAATGGAGAATTACTATTTTTTAGACAAAGAGAAGGGCCTTTTTATCCAACCCTAAGGTTACTTCACAAATGTAAGTTATTTTTATTTTTATTTTTGGAACTATTTACTCTTACTGCATAATTCAAATGTAAAGTCTTGTAAGAAATATGCATTTAATCAGATGAGCCCCCGCTGGGGGGATAAAACAGAAATATGCATTTGGGGATACTGAAAGACACAAAAAGAGTTTAAAGTGGCTTCTGATAGTTAACTCATTATTTATTAGTACTAGGTAATAAGGGATGTAAAACTAAAATGCTCATCTTGTGGTAAATCTGAAAAATGCTCATGCATTCCAGAAAGCCCAAGAAAGAGCATTCATCATTCATTCAACACATATTTATTGAACTTACTGTGTGCTAGGCACTCACTAGGTGCTGAGAATACAATGGGAAGCAAAGACAGACATTGTCTCTGTCCTTATGAAACTAATAGTCTAGTTTGGAGAATAAACAACAATTAGGTAATTATACAAATATGTATTTACAAACTGTGATAAGCATTGTGAGCATTTTCATCTTTTATATTTGTATCTATTTGCCCAATAGAGAAAAGTCTATATATGCGAAAGCATGGGCTAAATGTCCTTCCATCCAGTTACTTCCTGTGACGTGTGTAAATGCTTATTTTTTAAAAAATTGGGCTCTCTGTTACATAGTTTTTAAAAATTGATACGTAATAGCTGTACATTGTCTGCTGTTGTGGTGCCTGTATCCAACCCGCCTCCCACCTATATCCATTTATAATAGTTGTACATATTTTAGGGGTACATGTGATATTTTGATACCTTTAAACAGCGTAATGGTCAAATCAGGTTAATTAGGATATCTGTCACTTCAATGTTTATCTTTGTGTTGAGAAGACTACAATTCTTCTAGCTATTTTGAAATATACAGTAAATCATTGTTAACTATAATTTCCTTACTGTACTCTTGAATACTAGAACTTATCTACCGGTATTTTTGTATGCCTTAACCAACTTCCCTTCATCCCTTTGTAGTTTTTTTTCTTTAATTAATAGGCTTTATTTTTTAGAGCGGTTTTAGGTTTACAGAAAAAGTAAGCGGAAAGAACAGAGTTCTTTCTCTCCAGTTCAGTTTCCCCTATGAATAACAACTTGTGTTGGAATGATACGTTTGTAACAATTGATGAACCAGTACTGATGCATTATTATTAATGCAAGTCCCTAGTTTATGTTAGGGTTCACTGTTTGTATTCTACAGTTTTATGGATTTTCCCAAATACATAATGTCAAGTATCTACTGTTACAGCATCATACAGAATGATTTTGCTGCCCTATAACATCCTTTCTGCTCCACCAGTTCATCCTTCCTCCCCAGACTTCCCCAACCCTGTATAACCACTGGTCTTTTTTTTTTTTTTTTTTTTTGAGACAGAGTCTTTCTTGCTCTGTCACCCAGGCTGGAGTGCAGTGGCATCATCTTGGCTCACTGCAACCTCTGCCTCCCATTTCAAGCGATTCTCCTGCCTCAGCCTCCTGAGTAGCTGGGACTACAGGCACTCACCACCACACTTGGATAATTTTTATATTTTTAATAGAGATGGGGTTTCAATATATTGGTCAGGTTGTTCTTGAACTCCTGACCTCGTAATCCACCCGCCTTGGCCTCCCAAAGTGCTGGGATTACAGGCGTGAGCCACCATGCCCAGCTACCGCTGATCTTTTAAATTGTTTTTTATTCTGCATTTTTCACTTAACATTGTATCATGAAATTTTCCCAGGATGTATTAAGTATTCTCCAAAAACATGGTTTTGAAACTATGGTTTTTGGAGAATACTTGGGAGGCTGAGGTGGCAGATTGCAGGATCCAAAGCTTACTGTGAGGCATGATCGCTCCATTGCACTCCAGCCTGCGTGGCAGAGCAAGACCCTGTCTCAAAACAAACAAACAAGATTACCAATTTGGTAAACAAATTATAACGTTTCAGAGTTTTATTTTGTATCTGTCAGATTACTATAATTTGGGGAAATATTTGTTCATATCCTTTGCCTTTTTCTGTTGAGTCATTAGTTTTATTCATATAATGTATTTCTTTTCTT